TATCTATCAAAGAACACACATGTTGGTGTTGTCTGAAGATCTCTTAAAATAAGATGTATGATGAAAGTTGTTTGTCAGAATTTGTTTTGAAAAGAGGAACAGACTGAAAATACAGTGTGCCTTTCCCTTAAGACTTGGTTTTAGATTTCCCATATTTAGGGCATTTGGCCAATTATCTCTATCAGCATTTATTTTACCAATTTTGACAGAAAGGTTTTAATATTTTGTGTAAATGCATATCCGTTCCAAATATCAGTTATCATCTCATGAACTACTATCGGCCCTAAAAAACAATATCGGTCGACCCCTAAAATCAATGTGCTTGGACATCGATTCAATAATACACAAAGATGACTGAAACAGACAGATAATTCATTGCAGTGCCTTCTGATTCGTTAAATAATATGTGCAATATATTAATGAGTTTAGAACAAACTGACTCCTAAATGTACGTTACAGACAATGTTTAGTCAAGTGGAGCCTCTGCACAGTATGGCAGAACCCACAGTGCCCCCACAGGACTGAGACTTCATAAAATGGAAATAATAGATTTCAATATTTTCCGAATCCACGATGCTTGGGAAATTTATTGAAATGTAATATATTTCAATGTATTTTAATGTATTGTAGTGTATTGATGAATCGATTTTTTAGCTCAGCCCAACTCTGTACTTGTTTTTATAATTAAACAAAAAAACCTTCATCTTTATCAAGAAAGAATATTTAATATAAAGACACAAAATGATTATGTAAGCCTTGAACATGCATCATGTGATAGTTTTCCTGAATGCAAATGTGTGTCCTTGGTAAGTGATGAGGATTATTATGTTGTAGACTGTCAATGAAGCTGCCCTTTTGTGAGTCGGGCATGATGGCTCCACATTCAAAGTCATTGTTCAGGGTTTACAACAAACATAGTGCCTCACCTTGGCATTTCTGTTCCTTTTTATATGAAGTACAAAAGAACTCTCTTCAAACACTTATAATACAGACACACACAAACACACAATTTTGCACAGTGCTTTTCAGGGGATGTCAGGCAGTCTTTTCATCCCACTCATAGGCATTAGAGGGAGTATTGTCGGTAAATGTATACTTTACTTTTTGTTTGACACTGATAATTACTAAAAGAATAAATGATTTTCCAGAGTTTATATTTCTGAAATAAAGACTGTAACTTCCTCTTAACGGACAGAAAAACATTGAACGTTTGCCAGCCAACCATGTTACCTCTCAACAGGGAAACTAAACACAAAGCAGGAGTAGGTCAAAGTAAGTCTCAAGTCTGGAGTCATGTCCAAGTAAAGACAAGCAAGTCCCGAGTCAATTCCAGAGTCCTAAACTTTAAATTTTGAGTCTTAAATAAGTCATTAGCACTCTTGACCTAAAGAAATGCCATTTTAACAGTGTAATAATCTAATATGATTAATTGATCGTTTTTAGCCTACTTCTTTAAACAAATGATGATGATGATACTGATGATGATAAGTAATCATTTATGCTAAGCACTAGTAATGTAAGATGTACTGTTTGTAAGTACAGTTCTTCATAAATGTATTTATTGTCACCACTGAGTGTAAATGGTGCGACCACAGGATCAGCCGCTAAATATGTGAGAAATAATCAAGAGTTATTATTCTGGAATGATTCTTTACAGCAGGATTCGGGACGCTGACACAAAAATGGGCAGGGTTCTTGCCACACCTTCATGAGGTATAATACTTAACTTTCCCTTTAACTTCAGGGAACATAACTTCAGGGTTTAAATTTCCAGCCCCACTGATTTATTTAGTGAGCCTGTAAGGTATCTTAAGCTAGCTGTCAGGCTAACGTTATCTATCGCGTTTTTTGTTGACCACCTTGTAGTATTTTTTTGAAGCGTACAAAAATGTTGGTGTGTGAGTCAGCAAACCCACACGATGCTCTGACATGCAGACAGCAGAGGAGCAGGAAACTTTAGCAGAGTAATAGAGGAAAATATTGCCTTATGACAAGACAGGCAACAGATGGCAAGAAATGACAAAGGACGTCACCAATTACATGCAAAAGAGATGGTGCTAATTCAAGTGGATGAGAAAGATCAATCTTGAATAGTGCCAATTCATAACAAATGTTATCTTGAGACACTTTACAGAAGAGCAGGTAAAAAGTCCTGATTCATTGTTATGTTACAAAGACCCAATGTTAATCTATCATGAGCACAGCATGTTTAGTAAAGTTACAATGGCAAGAAAAAACTTCCTTTTAAGAGGTAGAAATATTGGGCAATACAAGACTCATGATAAACAGCCATCTACTGAAACTACTTTGGACTACTTTGGACCCAAGATACACCCTGCCTAAAATGCTCTAAAAATCATTTTTGTTGGTCTCTGTGCAATATTTCATTATTATTTAAGTACAACCTGTAGGCAAATCTGACATTTTTACTCATTACTCATTCTTCCATTGTTTGATCTCAATACTTGCTCTTGGGTTTTCAGTGTTTAGGTAATATATTTACTTCAATGACTTAGTTTAAGGTTAATAGATAAGACCTGTTTGTCTAAAATATGTTTTGTAATGGCTATCAATAACAAAATAGAATATTATATTAACAAAAATGAGCTAGTACAAAACAAGACTTTGACAAACACATTTTTGAGGGATGCAAAATATAAATTATCGTTATCAGCAAAATCCCCAAAATATTATTTTCTGTCAATATTGTACACCCCTATTGCACAGTCCAAAGGGTTCCCTTTTTATGACAATGTAGATCATCATAGCCATAGAAATTGTAACCTCGATTTCATTTGAATACTAGCATGACTATAAGTATGACTATAAGTACAAGAGTTAAACATTGCTACAACTATTGTTAGAGTTTATAGTGGCTATGAAAAAATCTCAATTTAAAAGAATTTCAGGAGAGACAAAAATCAAACCATCCTTTTCCTGCATGGTCGTGCTGCCATTTTCAACTATCCTCAGAAAATACATATGGATAAACATTGGAATTATCATGTCAGTTTTACCTACCTGTACACAAAAGCAGCATTATCAACAAAGAGAGGCAGAGAGAATAAATGATTTTTAGGGGCGCTCATAACTATTCTTTCACTGTGCATTCATAATAGAGTACCACTCTGAGCCAAACTTCAAGAACACTCTCAAGATCAACTCGCTATTCGTGGCTCTGAATCTCAGCTTGACTGTTTGAAGGATGAACAGAAGAGAGAAATCATAATAAAGGTGACAGAGAGTCTCTCATCGGACTTTTCTGCTTGCAGGCACTCAGCAGATATCTGCCTTTATAATGCAGGTAAATTGATTTCTCACAAGTCATTTTTTAAGGCTTAATGCCCGGGCCATGAATGTGTTGCTTGTATAGTGGTCTCAATTTGCAGAAAATACAGAACTAAAGTTCAGAAAATCTAATTCCCGTTGTGAAACAACAAAACTGGACCACTTCATTCAAAAATAATGGGGGATCAGGTCCCCTATAGTATACATCACTAAAGTTCAGAGGTGAAAAAAACACAACGTTGGTTTGTTGGTTTGTTGGCTGAATAAGATTTTCCCATAATTGCTTGCTTCCAACATCAGTATAAATTGATGTTGATATATGTCATGCTTCAGGCTATAGGTTGTGCTTAAAGGGATACTTCACCCATTTGCATTAAGCCTTGTATCATTAGAAACCTGGTAGTATTTTTGAATGGTCGTGCATCCCGCCCTCATTTTCCCCTGAGATGGGAAATCTTTGTATTTCTAAGTCTGAAAAGGAGCTTCCAGTGACGCAAAATGACGATTATTGCGTCACTGGAAGCTGTTGCGGTTAGCGGGGTGAAACTACAACGCTAGTTCCTCATATTTTCGACCACTGAAGCTACAGAACAATCACAGATCAGTGGGTGGGAACTCATTCCTAGAATTGAAACTTAACGTCCGTCATATTGCTTGGAAGCTATGCTAACAGACTCTATGGAGATAGCTGATAATGGCGACCGCCGGCCACCAGGGCAGCAACCATCTAGCGGCTATACTGCTATATTGCTGGCCGCCGCCGTCAAGCTGGGGCGGACTGGTAGTGTCGGTGCTCTCACTGTTTGCCTATGGACACAGACATAGAGTCTGTTTTCTGCCAGGAATTTCCAAGATCAATTCTGGAAGAAATCTCGGAACCAGTTGAGGAAATGGCCTTATATGTTGAAGTAAATATGTTTGTAAATGTTTTCATTACTATATTTCTACTGCTATACTGTATATTTTGGAGAAACTGTAACGATCGAATTTCCCTCTCAAATTAATAAAGTATTTCTGATTCTGATTCTGAACTAGAGGATGTTAGTGGGAGTGGCCTGCGGTGCTGTGCATTCTGGGATTTGGTGTCTTTCATCCACATGAGCCAAAAAGACACTTTCTGCCTTTTCTCAGCCAAGAAGGCACCAACTTCAAAATGTATTTCACATTTCTACTACATATATGACCCAATGTGAATACAGATTCATGTTTCAACGGGTGAAGTATCCTTTTAAAATCCGCCAAAAAAGCTCAAACTGAATGAGAAACAGTTCTTCATAAAGCACCAAAACCAGTGTGACATGTGGGCATCTTTTCAAAATTCTGATGTTTTGCATGTATTCAAACACTGTGTCCTTCTTCAGCGAGCTCTAAGTGAGGCAAACTAAATGTCACGAGTGTTTGTGCTGCTAGAGAAAATGCTACAATGGCGACCCTTCTCACACTGTCCGCCTAAAATAAGCTGTAGCATGAAGTATGAGGGCAGTCTTTGCTATTGCTTATCTGAAATTCAAATAAGTTTTCATGAACCATCCATCAATCAATACATCTGGCTTCAAATAGCACAAAATAACTATAACATTAGAACCCATAAAAACATACATTTATATAGTGCAAGGTTCTATCACAAACATGGTTTAGCTCAGTGAACCAGATAAAGGATGCTTCCAGCGTGTACATGTGTATGAACCTGGTGTGTGCTGTATATCTGTTACTCACCCCAGCGTTGTCATAGTGACAATGGTGTACCAGAAGGAGGCCGGGATGCTGGTGAACTTGCTGGAGCTGGAGCCCTTCTCTGCGTAGAACATGACGGTGGCGAAAATGATGATGGCCATGGTGAGTGAGAAGAGGAGGAAGCCGAGCTCAGAGGCGCAGCTCTTAAGCGTATAACCCAGGATCCTCAGGCCCTGCGAGTGACGTGAGAACTTGAAGATTCGAAACACTCGAAACACTCGTAGCGTCACAAAGGCGCCGCTCACGTCCTCATTGTTGGTCATCACCAGGCCAATGTAGTACGGCAAGATGGCTACCACGTCAATGATGCTCATCACTGAGCGCATGAAACGGTAGCGGCTAGGCGCGGCGAACAAACGCAAGAGATATTCCACTGTGAAGATCATGACGCAGGCTGTGTCCATGCAGAAAAATGCCACTGTGTAGCGTTCGCCACATGGCATGTCCTTCTGGTTGGCGGTGGTTCCACAGGGAACCGTCTCCACCACGTTTGTGATGACAGAGATGGCAATGAAGAAACCAGTGACATAGTAGAAGACCAGGGCCATTGTGGAGGTGTGGGGGTTCTCAAAAGCTCGCCACATGGTCTCCCTGAAAGTCATGTTGGGTGGTTTCACGTCCCTGTTCTCCTCCTGATCATCCTGCAGGCGCTCCAAATTTTCCCGCTTCCTGTCCTTGTACTCTTCGTAGCAGCAGTCTCCGATAATCTCAGGGATGATCCCGAAAAAGGTCAACTCCTCATCATAGGCGGAGATGCACTCATGACGAGGGTAGTGCAGCTTACCTGTTCGGTAGAAGTTGAGGATGCTCCTGAAGGCGTCAGGGTCGCGGTCGAAGAAATACTCCTTGCTCTCCTCGTTGTAAAAGAAGTCTTTCTCTGTGCTGCCCAGCAGGGTGTCTGGGTAGCGGTCCAGAGTGGTCCTCCAAGTTTGGAAACGGCAGCCACTGACATTGAGGATTATCAGCTCATCCTGTCTCTTGCTGTTGTCTCTTGGTGCGACAGGCATGGGGCAGTTGGCAACAGGCATCCAGCCTATCGCTGCTGCCCGGGCGAAAGGGAGCCACGCTGCTACTCCATTTGCCATTGTGAGTCTTCAGATTAGTCCTCCTCGCCTTCAGGGTCGACTTTCCTCAAATTCAACAGACATCTGAGAGGAAATTTTCAATAGAAAAAAAGGAAATATAAAGCTGCACATTAAATTGTAACTAAATTATGTTTTTTTCCATATTCTTTATCACTGAAGGAAGCAGCAAAAATTGCATCACATTTTGAGAAGTACTTTCAGACACTCTCCAATTATTTTATTCCAAATCCACTAAAACCTGCCCCATATGGCAGACCATTTCCTGGGAAAAGCTGCTATTTGGGAGCAACTGCAGCACAATAATCAGGTAATCAGACAGGCAGCTACATGGGTGAACTCTAGTCTCATTTTGGTTCTGTTCAGGGTTCAACCTATACTTAAAGTACATCCTCAACAGAAAGTCCAGAAGTGAACAATGTTTGTTTTTTTCTCTATGAATTTCTTCTACTGACATCTAAACCCTGTTACAAAGTGCATACACCACTGTGAGTGAGTCTGCATTTGCAAACCAAATTACTAATCTGTTTTTGGACCAGATCCCACATTAGGAAAAGAGAATGAATAAATACATTTAGATGTATAGTGAGTAAAACGATGCCAGTAGGTTAAACAAACAACATTAGCGGTGAGTAATGCCACAAACCACCGCATACCGAGAGGCTGAAACTAACCTGTTGAATCGGGACTAGAAGGCAACAGCTGCACATTATGGTCATGGAAATGTATGTAAGCTGGGGGAATACGCTATTTCACCGCTTTTTCCGGTGATTAAATTTGACATTTAGAAGGCTGCAGTCCTATAAAAAATAACCTATTCAGTAAATTTGTCATTGAAAGTTATTTCCTCTAGAAGCTCTAGTTTATGTTTGAACAAAAGTATCTAAAACGTGAAAAATGATAGCTATGTAACTAGCCCTCGTTAATTAGTTGTTTCCATGCACGTGCAGTAGCTGTCTCACAAACGCCGTATATCACGTCAATTAATTTTGAACCAATTCTCATAATAATCTCTTAAAAAAAGAGTGAGATTGATTAGTAAAGGGCAAAAAAACACACACTCACCTATAAAAGTAGAGGGAGGGGGGGGGGGACAAACTCCTGACTCTTCCGAAGAAATTCAGAGTTTCTTTAGAGACAGAGCACAGGTGTGTGAAGAAGAGCTCGAGTCCATCCAGCGGGAAGCAGCTCCTCTCCTCGCGCGTCTGTCGGTCTCTTCTACAGACTCCTGCGCCGAGCAGAACCCCAATAACGCGGCAGAAATGAGCGAGTCTGAGAGAGCCCCAGACTCAGGAGAAGAAACAGTCTGCAATGCAGCAAGGTGTGTGTACGTTCAAACTGGATTTTACATCCTTGCTTCCTTTGTTTTACTCCTCAGTGTTTGGAAAGTGAAGAGGAGGAGGAGCGCGCCTCCTTTTTCTCCAGCACTGACTACAATGTGCGTCTCTCTCACTGTGCAGCTCCGTGTCATCAGTACTCCTTCCCTCTGCCTCACTTTAACAGTGACAGCCACTTTGGTCACATTCAATATGTTTTATTGATTTTTAAAGTAGAAAATGCTATTGTTGGTTAATGCGTGGTACTGTAATAAAAACTGTAATTCTAAAGTAAAATCGTTATTACATTATAATATATCAGATACCAAAACGCTTCAAACGAATACAAATAATCGAGTTAACGAATACTTTAAAGGAAATCCTAGCACACTTTTCCATTGTCAAGGGTTTTAACATAACAGGATAAAACTTATTCAGGGCCCAGGGCATAAATGAGGTATAGGGCTCCCTACAACCCCCCATTATTTCTGGCTAGAATATAACAGTTTGTATCAACAGACACCTCAATAATATAAAGAGGGAGAATATTTTGATTTATGAAGAGCATTCGTAGGCAATAAGTCTGTTTGTATAACATGATAAGAACTGGATATAGCAACCTTGACGTCAGCCTCTTTTGCAGGCTAACATTTTCAGGTTGCACAGCAATCATACAGTGAATCATACCCTGAATTATTTTTATTGTACTTTTTTCTCTGATGGACCCATTATCAAAATGAACAGCAGGATTTGAAACTGGTGATTAAGACATTTTTTTTTCTGATTCTAATAAATCAGAAAAAACAATTTTTACAACTGAGAGTCAAGGTCATTTTCATACCTGTTACAATACAATCATGATTATTTTTTCAGCACCAGCCATAAGAAAGTATACAAGTTCAAGGTAGTTCTGCTTTTGCTTCACATTTGAAATTTAGATACTTTATATGAAAGATTCATATTCAGGATTTTTATGCCTTTATTTTGAAAGTGGATAAAGTCAGAAATCGTGAAAATAGAAAGTGGGGAGTGACAGGCGGGAAAAGTCATAGGTCGGATTAGAACCTAGGTCGCCCGCATGGAGGACCACAGCCTCTGTACATTGGGTGTGCGCACTAACCCCCGTAATTTAGATACTTTGCCATTTTATATTTGCAGTCTATGGTCGGTAATCCCTCTTTTAACAATCCAATTGAGCAAGTTGTACGCTGTAAAATAAATAAAGTTGAGAAGCATAGAAGGAGAACACATTTGCTGACACTGTAATGCAATCTCTGTTGTAGCAATCTGTTGTTTCACTGGTTTTAAACTGTTGTCTGGTTGTAAACCGGTTACTTCTTGGTTGCCATGTCCGTATGGACTCTAAACTCTAACTTAATTTCCCGGTCTTATTGCTGTTGGAGCTGTAAACCAGAAAACAGGAGATATTTTCTTTTATATCGGTTTTCCACTTTGTCTTCTTCCCCAGAGGCTAAATTGACAAAAGAGGACAGCTGGTGGGTTTACAGATTATGACTGTTCATTTAGAATGAAAGAGAATCAAAATAATGAAGCAACTTTTACATTGTTTTATTTTTTAGATTTTATCTTGCAGATACTGTTGTCTGCCTTCTCGTCCCAGGAGGGTAATTTGTTTTCACAATCAACACATGTTCATATCTCATTAAAAAAACGACATTATATGGAATAAATACAATTGACATATGGTTATACATATTAACGCTCTCAAATGTAGCCTATTTACAGACTTACAAACACACAAGTATAAAAATCAGTAAGGTACTATGTTCAGAGCTGCTAGAACAGAAGGGACTAAACTTGTGCCAGAGCTGGCCCTCTGCCATCTCTCCCTTGATTTGAGTCCAGACGGAGGTAAAGTGAAGTGTGCACTGAGTGGGTGATCAGTGTCATTTGCTATGCTGAGTGCTGTGAGTATGACTGCTCTGTTGTTGAGGTCTGAGAGGTTAGGTGAAAGGGGGCTAATGACTTTGGAAACTATACTTCTGATACTGTTCAGTTGTATCTTGGTTGAAAACAGTCAGCTAGTGAAGAAAAACTATAATATAGAACAGGATGAGTTGATTTATGTGTTTAGAGTAAAAAAGAAGAGTGTGAGGAGATTCAGAGAGTAGTCACATATCGCACAGATTCTTCTCTCCCTAATTTTGGATCGTACTGCTTTGGTGCTGGTAGCTGATTAAAAACACAGTATCTAGAAATAAGCAACAAAAATGAAAATAGATAAGATTTGAACACAGGGACTACATTTGTAAGCATGTGGCATTCCTAAGCTGTTTAGATGACTGATGAATAAGGGTGTGTCAGGAAACGGCAGTAAATCCACAATTGAGAAGTTTGACTGACTGTGTTTTTACACAACTAGAAAAAGCTTCTACTGCCTCTATAATATCGACATTCTACATTTATTTTTGATGGTTAAAGGAGCAGTATGTAACTCTGACACGTACTGTTTAACTTTGGTAGTGCAGTCCAAATTTAAAACAGTGGAAAAATGCAGAGGCTTTTTTTAGTTTTGATAGAATCAGTTATATCTGAAGAAGTTCACTTGCCCACTTCCATTGCTGCAACACCTGTTGGTTTGCTGTGATAACTGGTCTCATTTATGGCAAACCGTCCAAAATGGTCGTGTTGGGTTTCCTTAAAAGTGCCTCCTTTCTCTGGTCCAAACAAACTCTCACCAGACTAGACTGGAATCTAAACAGAAGGAGGACATACTGGCTGCTGCGTTGTTGTCAGAGAAACCAGCACTTCAACAGAGCAGGTTTCCTTGATATCTGATTATATCATAAGGTCATTGTATGATTTAATTTAGTAGACATCTTACATATTGGACCTTTAAGAAACAGATCAAAATTGATACTGATGCCCCTATATGACCTAAAAATGCAAACAAAACCATCAGTGAGAAGATTAATCATTATTTTTAAATTCTATTACTGCTGTCAAAAGGTCGGTGTCAGACAAGGAGATGTCCTGCACTCTACAGAAAGAGCTTTTGTTTGCATTTACCACAGAAAAGCTATGAACGTTTGAGAGCATGATAATATTTTTCTTTAGAAAACATGACTTCCAAATGTTTAGGACCTGTTTTGACCACAGGGGACGCCAAGATCAAAACAAATTTTTCAGTTGAGTTTAAGTAGCGCCAGGGGCGTGTCCAGAGGGGTGGCCAGGGGTGGCATGGGTCCCCTAGTAATCTGATTGGCAATGTGTCAGGACCAAACATTGCAAGTTAGACTGCGCAGGAGTTTTCATGCACTTTTTTGAAGTACTTTAAATTGTGACTTTGAACATAAATCTTCTTTTTGTGTCTGCACACATAACAAAACTTCAGACTACCCCTGCATAAGTCAGTTCCCCAGTTGGGCCACCCCAGTCAAAAACGCCTCGACACGGCCCTGAGTAGAGCCAACTGAAAAATGCTGATTAGGACCATTCAAACTGAATATGCTATATACAGATATACATATATATACTGGTATACATATACCAGTATCACATGCAGAGAACTGAATGAGTAGGTATGTAAAAAACATCAGTGAGGATGTCAGCAAGATTCATATTAGTCCAAAAACAGAACTTCATATAGTAAGAAATAAAGAGTTTATTTATGAAGCCAGGTACCATAAAACACACCTGCCTTTAAAGGTCTCTATGACATACGACGCCCTCAGAAAAAAAGGAAAAAATCAGAACGT